CTGCAACCTCAACATCAGGCTTCACTACCCTGGAGGATACCAATACACCTTGTACCAGGTCGACTACATCGGATATGCTAATCTCGAATTGGGAGTCACTGCTAATCGACAATCCACTTACTGGTTCGCTGGTTTCCTAAACCAGAGGGCAACCTTCCAAACCACCTGGAAGGGGCCGTACGTCAACAACTACGCCTCGCGCGATATTATTGGTCACGATGCTTGGGTCTGGTCACCATGCGGTGCTTCCACCGCTTTGAACATCAATACTCAGCTCACCCTCGCGAACAACCCGACGACGGCATCTGGCTTCACCAACCCCGGCTCTTTCGTACCCAATGTCAAGACCATGTATAGTCTCTTCTGGAAAAGGTGCTAGAGAGCGATGTAAGTGACTTGAGAGAGTGTGTATGAGGAACAAGAAGCAGAAACTGACTTAGCCTTAGGATTTTCGATACTCGCATACTCAGTTACCGGAACCTCTATGATCAAAATGAAGGTGATGAATATATTCTCACGGCTGTCATCAATGATCAAGAGCGTGAGTGAGTTTCTCTATTGTCAATTTCTTAACTATTCTCCTTGAGTTATGTTTCCTCTTGGCTATTTCTTAGTGCATGGAAGGTGGTTGTGGTCTCTCAGATATTCTCACTTTTTGTACAGTCACTCGGCAAAAGTGTTCGTGAAACGGAGTTTCCCTTTGACGGAGACCAAAGCGGCCTAAGGAGGGGGGGGGGTATTGCACAATTGGGGGCCTCTGTGCGGGAGGGGCCCATTCCCCGGGACGAGGGAAATGCCGTTTCACGAACACTTTTGCCGAGTGACTGTAGATGTTTTTTTTCTGAACCCTAACTTGAACCTAATACGAGTTCAGTGCTCCAAACTGGTTTATTAGGGCTTCGCCCTAATTAGACAACCTTTTTTTCCCTCCCTCTCCTCTCGTGTCCACTATCGTTAGGAATAGGAATTGTATCATAGGTGTTGAACTCTTTAGAAACGTATGTTTCACTGCCGTAAGGGTGATCTTTTTTGGATGGCGAGAACTCCCTGCTCCGTACCCTATGCCCCCCCCCCCCCTCCGTGTCTACCTACAATATGTGGAATCGTCGCGACCCTCTTTCATTATGTAGCTTTCTGATGAGCACGACATGGTAGTATACGGTTGATATTCGATTTGTGATGCCCCAAACTTTAGGATCGTCAAGAGGGAATTCGTAGTCTCCGGTTTAGGTCTTTGAGAAAGCTCGTAGTGCGCAGTCCCCCAATAGAGTCCTCTGTTTGGTTCTTGCTCCGCTGCTCACATTCGACTCTGGGAGTTGTTTCGGTTCCGGAGGAATATCCAGCCATCTCTTTCTGAAGTTGGTTACTTTTCTTTTGAATGAGCTTGATTGTTCGGTCAGCGTCCGCAAGGAGTGGATCCCGAGAGCTCTGCGCTTTCCTGGGGATGTCTTTGCGGTTGTCATTATATGTGCCAATGGTCCGAATGCCGCCAATGATGGAGTTAGCACAAAAGACTCGAGGGGATGAAAGAAATAGTTTGATCCTGGATATTTCAAAAGATGAATGATGGGATATCGGGGGGGGGGTAATAGTGCTGTCCGAGCCTGTGTATAGACGCCAGGGGAAAGCGCCAGTCGCAAGAAGTATCGCCGGAGGTGAAGCTGTTTTGCGCATCCAAGGCGATTCGTTCACCCATATTTTGGAAGTTATCATGCACGCATCAAATGATAAGACAGCCAAAATCCAGTTTTTAGAAACTTTTCCTTTTCTTCTTCTCTGCTTTTTCGTTTGGCTGTTCCGGAACCCTGTTATCAAATCATTTCCAAGGATTGTGTTTTGTAAGGTTTTAGTCAAATGGATTCCGGTTTATCATACTATTTTCTCCGGGACCCCCCCGAGCGAAGCGAGGCAGGGGGGCGTAGCCTCAAGGGAGCAGTAGCGACCGTGATAGACATTGGTAGGTAGGTGTGCGAGCTATGAGAGGAGCGAGAGCCCACAAAATGTGGCGGAGAATGCAAGCGTTTGGCAACTAGGGACCTGGGCGGAGGGACTGTCTTTAGTTGCTGGGGCGCGGAACGCGCGCAGTAATTATTAGATTTTGCGCGGTATGATACAAGTGAGAACGTTCCGGAATGCTGAAAGCTGGGCTTGGTAGAACGAGGTGACGTGCAAGGGTAATGACCTGTGGTGTAGGGCACAGAATAATTTGTATAAAAGGGAGGGGTTTCCCGGCGCTCTGGGAGAAGAGACAAAGTCTTTCATCTTCCTTCAACTCCCCACCATTCGAGAAGTAGCAATTGAACGACCAGAGTACACAAACGAAAAGGTCTGTCTATTTAATGTCACATTATCTCTCTATGACTAGAGTATTGAAGACTGACTTGCTAATTCACCAGAACAAAAAAGCAGTTAATTTTACAAGGATCACTTCCTTCGACGCAAGCAACATCAACTGTATTGCGTTTCATGATTGTATCAACCAGTGTTCTGCTAGAAGTACTTTTCCATCTTCCTTCCATTAAATTTTATGGTAATGAACACTTCCTAATAAAATCTGTTTTGTGACAAAGCTTTATGATATGTTCGGTCCCCCTCTTTTGGCTAATGCCTTGGGCTCTGCTATGGTTATCTGGCAGATAACCAAGAACAATGGTGGAGACAAGGGGGATATTACCCGTGTCGTGAAAGAACTCAAGATGGGTATCGCTCTCATTGAGAAGAGAGTGGATCTCATCAACATGAAAGTGAATATGACCAACGATAATATGCCGATGGTTACTCCTGAAGCCATGGTAGTCATGGGAACAAGAAATGATCTGGGAATATGTGAAATTAGGTCTGGAACCAAGTTTTGTCAGCTCTCTAGAGGTGAGGACTGTTAGTAGCTGGTGTTGACTGTCAATAAAGGTAAATCAGATTGTGTTGCCTACCTCTGAGTTGTGTGATACATGATGTAATTAAACACAAAACAATAGGTATATTGAATATCGCTTGTTTTAGAGGAAAAAGCTCTACACAGGCATTCTTCTTAGAAGTGTTTTGGATTACGGTTTACTTCTATATGGGGGTATTGGGTGGAGGATAGAAGGTGGAGTACCTGGTGGAGCATTTACTATTAAGAGAACTGTACGGCGATGGTTGATTGATTTTTTTCGGTGAGGAACAAGTGATTGCGAATTATTTATATATGTAACTGTAATTAAAATTTATTATATTATAGCTTATATACTTTCAATGAACAGTAAGGCATTCGAAAAACAGAGCTTGTGGCTTGAATTTCCCATCTAACCTTCCATTCAACAATATTGTATGTCTGCAATTTTCATGACAAGATTTGTAGCTACAGCTTTTTCAATGGCTTTAAGTACTGTGCGTGAGGTCTTAGAACCATCTGTTTACTGGTTTGATTACCCATCGCTGAGTAAACTCCAGTTCACTATATATATAAAAACTTTCAATGTCTATTGCCAAGCCGCTAGATAGAGCAAACATCCACCACAAGATCACTAGGCAGAGAGCCACAGGGTGAGTAGTATATAGACATTAGCCCTGTCTGAAAGTTGTTCCGACTCAGTTTTGTCGTTTTCCGAGGAGTAGGTAAATCGCTCTCAAAACGTCAAGGTATCATGGCTGTTTTTTTTGTATAGTTTCCTTCCTGTTTCGCTCATCATTGACGCTATCTTGGCCCAGGTGGCCATCTCGGGCAGAAGAAAAAAGTTGAAGGAGATGATTAATCCGGGTAATATTGACATCACAGCTTTCGGAATAACGTACTAAAGCACGGCGGTTGTTAAATATGGTATTGGATAATGGCTCGCTGATTAATTAGTTGGGGTTTCAGATTCTGTTCCGGTAGGGTATTTGGAAAGTCCGTGGGGGGGGGATAAGAGGTGAATCGGGTACGGTAGTCTCATGGGGAAAATGCGAGTGATTCCTCATGATCAGCTCATGACACGCTAGTATACTACTGCTCCTGAAGGGAGTTAAGGCGTATAGGCACTGTGGAGAAGTTATAGCTTGGCTATTTGATGGTAAGCAAGGATTTAGGATCCTAGGGAGTGAATGAGGATAGTAAGGAAGATGCGTACTCTACTTATACACTCTCTAGTTGTTTAAGAGTTGTGGGGTGTAGTCTATGCAGGCACTTGCCAGTACATGTATTGAAACTTGGGTTTTTAGATCTCTATTTTTTTGGGGAAAAATATAGGAGTAATACTAGCACGGGATAATGGGGGTCTTGAGAATTGTGGTTGGGAGAGTAGATGTCAGTACTTCATTGGAACCCTTAGGGAAAACGCCTGGGAAGTTCTCTAACGCAAGACCACTGGGTTAGAAAAAGATTCTTATATGTCAATTTGTTCAACTTTACCAAGGTTCCATGGAACAGTTAGCGCATGGTACTAATATTATTCGGGTGTTAACACCAAGGCCGAGGGTTCGACCCCCTCTGGAACCATTACATTCCTGTACTTTCCTTGATTCTCTTGATTCTTTGTACAGTTCGGTGACATAGTTCATCGTTGGCCATTCATTTTACACCAAAAACACGTTTTTTTTTTAGCTTTAGAACACAAGTAAAAGTTGCTCAACTAAGTCTATTCTTTTTTTGCTGAGCAACAGATCTTGCTATTGCAATAAATACACCTGAATTTAAAAGATGCATCACATTTGGTTTTCTTTCCAATTGTGTGTGGTTTTGGTATATTGTGACGAGGTACGATGGGTGACCAACGATGAACTCTGTCACTGAACTATATCTAGGGAGGTGGGGCCTGGATTATGATGGGAGGGGAGTTGGTTTTTTGGTAGTAGTGAGGTTGTACTAGTGGGGGTATGTGCGCACAAAAGTAGAGGTGTGCTGTCACGGCGGGAGATTATGGACTAACTTTATATCAAATTGATTCAAAGAAAGCTTGGAAAAATCAGAATATTTTCTTCTATGTATTACTTGAACTCTGTACCGGTAGTACTCAAACTAACCTTCCGCAAGACCCGCCAAAGCAAAGTTCCTTACAGTAAGAGTGGAGGCACTGTTCTAAGTCCAAATGTTTGCCAAACCAACTACAACAGCTTTCTCCATTACCATACAAAACCACCGACGAAGCCAACAAACCAACACTCCCCTCTCCCTCCTCACCAAGTAACCCAGCTCTAAACTGAGATCTACACTGGACTCAAGTATGGGGAAATTATCATTATTCGTCTACTGTACTAGCCGATTTCAAAAGTATCTGGACACCTTGGCGCCAAGGCTGTGGAAGTGACCGGCATAAGTTTATTCAAGATCCTGTATATTCGACAAAATAACTATCCATGAAATTTGTTTCCACCCTGCTTCTCAATACATTTAGCCATGGCTCTTGATAGTTTAGATATCTCTTTATTAACCTCCTCAACAGTAATCCGATCCCATTCCTACTGTAAAATCACCCTCATTTCACCTATACTGTTAATTCTCTTGTGTCCCGTATGAGTTTGGAGTCGAGCTTTTTGTGCATTTGAAAGCGCATGTCTTCAGGTATCACTTGCAGTTGATTTTGAAACACTGATAACAGTATGAATTTCCCGGAAGCTGATAAGAACCTCGAGACACCGATAAGCAATAATCACAGCAGGTCGATGTGGAATAATTGCTTTGCCTAATCATAATACCAAATTAGCTCATTTCAAGTTCCTTTTTATTACACAAATTCTCTTACCTCTCTTCGCACTTGGGTTGACCGGACTCATAGTTGACTAACAACGTTTGTTGTGATACAGGTGTTTGTCAGCCCAGGAGTGAGAGCGCGTTCAATTCAGCCTATTCACTCAAAAGGTCTTGGCACCAAACTTTCTCCCTTGGCGCCAAGGTGTCCGGATACTTTTGAAATTGGCTAGTACTACCGAGACTAGACTATCCACCCTAGAAAAAAAGAGAGGTGGAATAGTTTTTTTTACTCTGTCTTCTCATGCGCAGCGCTTATCACATGTTTATTTTATTATTGTATAGTGCTTTTGAATAAAGACTGACGGTGGTGGGTGATTGTGAGTTCCGGGGATGAAGGTTAGGGATAGGGTGAGGCATGATGGACATGGAAAGAAGGAAGGGGATGGTGGGGATACGTGCAGGGTTGATTTTGCTTGTTGTGCGGTATCTATTTCGTGCTCCCTGGGGGGAAATTGTTGTACAGTTCGATGGTGTGCCCTATTGCTCCCCCCGTCTCTATCTATACTACAGTAGCATTCTTGGCTGTCACCGGCGGACTCCCGCATCACAAGGTCTCACTCGTCATCTGATGCACGTGTGTAGTGGTGCTAGGGTAATCAAATATAAGCATATCATCACATTTTTTCCCTTCATTTTTATACCATACATATGATACATACGGACCCTAAAATCTCTAACCCCATGGCATTAGCCCTGGCCCCAAAATCCTTCCAAAAAGAAAGAATATGATACCCGATGTTAGTTATTTGCTCCTTGGGTGGACATTTAATAGCCTAATTGTTCTGACAACCTTGATGAATTAACCATAAGAGATGACAATGGATCATAACGAAAGATTGTTAGATTTATGATAGGTTTGAAACAGTTACTCTTGAGCCTTAAATTTAGAGTAAAGAGTTCTCATATTTCCCGATCTCCTCAGATTCTCCCTCTATTTTCCAGATTTTGCAAAATTACTCTTTAGTGGTCAAATAAGATACGTATTTTTAGAATAATATATGGTTTTATACGGTGTTATACGGTATTATACGAACGCGTATAAATACGATCTCACACCTTAGGTGGTGCAGGGGAGAACGCCGCACATTAGCAACAACAAGGGTCAAGTGACTGCACGGAGCCCGGGGCGAAATGGTTCCACCATCAGTTTCTCTCATCGCTCGCCTAATCCCTGCTGCTCTTATCGCGGGTAAGCCACTCCAGGCCATTATTCTTATCGACCGGTTGACCACATCTGGAATACCTTTCTGAATAAGGTTGGGTGCTGTGGGGAAGAAAAATAGTCTGCGGTGTTTTAGCTAGAAGTTGTATTTTATTTTCATCAGATCAGCTAGTTAATCAGATCAGCTAGTTATCGTGAGGGTTAGGGCTTGGGTATCTAGTCGATAAGGGGGGATGGTTTTGTTTGCTAGTTACCTTGGGTTTTGTTTGCTAGCTAACTTGGGTTGATGTCTTGGCAAGGAAAAATTGTTACTTAGGCTGGGCGAGCATCAGGAAACAACAACAAGGGACGAGAAGAGAGGAAACAACGGACGAGAAGAGAGGGAGCGGACATCGAGATCGGGAACACGGATTTATTTTTCTCTTTTACGAATTTCTTTTTGTTTTTCTTTCGATAGCAATTCCAGTGACGGAATTATATTTTATCTTCGGACGAATAAATTTGACCTCTAGTTGTGCGTGTGGTGATTGCCCTTTCTAGTAGTGTTTGTTCTCCCTTTTATTTACGGTTCCCCTTTTCTACGGTCTGTTTGTTGGAGAAGTGAATTCCTTCCCTTCTGCTTGTCTACCCGGCGAGTGTTTCCCTTCGTTGCCTTTTCCGTTTCTCGTTGGTGCTCTGAAACGGAAGAGACGGTTTTTGTTTTCTCAGTGCGTACTCGTCAGAGCATACGGTCCATTGGTTTCTCAAAAAAAAAACTTGAAGATTGAAGTCGATTCTCACATTCCAAGGTAAGAAACTAGGTCGAATTGCGGCTTAAGGAAATACAGCAGCTTAAATACCCGGCATAATTAATACGGAAAATGGGGGGAGGGTGCGAAACAAGCATCAAATATCACTCATGAGCTCGGTACCCCACATGTGTCCAAATTCTTGCATAAACTTCACTTCTGATGTTTCTATCCTTCCTTGCTATCCACCTCCGGTAACTTTGCATGAACTATTAACTGATCGATCTCCCTTCTAGAGCGAATCCTCCGATCGACAACTCCAACGCAAGATTACCGGTCCTGCCGGGTTAATTTAATTGATGTACCTTCTATGCATTGCGGTAATCGCCAAAGACACACAGCTAATTTGCAATATAGATGTAGCTGTGAAGCAATCATCCTGGTAGACTGCACAAGGGAGTTTGTAGCGAAGCCTGCTTCCAACATCAACCTTGGCCAACCTTCTAACTTGCCTCCAATGACATTAGTCCGAACGTTTGGAACCTCTTGACAACATTCCTACGCTTCACTGACCACCTCGTGTTCATATGCGACAATCCCAACTATGGCTTGTACATGAGGGGTGCACTAAATAATGCAAAATTATTTCTGCAGATCCCATACAAATCTTTATGGAGACAAGGGTTATGTTTTCCGTTTTTCTAATGACCCCTCCGAGTAATTGGGTCTCATATTTTTGGGCCAACCCAGGTCTATTCGGGTTCGTCTGGGCTGGGTGTGATATCTGTGACTTTGGGTTAGGTTGTGTTCTGTTGGGGCCAAGTGTGGGTTACCCATCAAACCCGAACTCCTAAGGTTGTAGGGGGTTCCGCGGGATGCACTGGCAGGATTGAGTCTTCTCAGATAGTCTCTAGATATTCGAGTATATTGGTCATTAAAGCGACATTGGATTATCTCTATCCAGCTCATTAGGAGAAATGCATTTTAAAACAATCAAAGTCAGCAAGAATCGCAGTCTAGAAAGAAAAGAAATGAGATAACATGCATGCCCTCCGTTCAGGATCGGCGAAAATGGCTTGGAGAAAAAATCACAAAAGTGAAAAACTCACCCACCCGGAGAGCAGCACGGTGAAGAAGAAAACCCTTTTTTCCAAGCTGGCTTCCGGAACCCCACATAAAAGAGGAAAATAATAGAAAATAATAAAGTAGTATAATGGATAAGTCGGAATAGGAATAAAAAAAATACACACGCGATGAATCTCGCAGGTAACTCCACTCAAGCAAGACGCCAAAATCCCCGTATATTCCGAAGGGAAACATATAACCCATGACTTGACAAGAACACCAATACCAGGAATATACACATTCGAGGCAACGCAATATACTAGTAAATAACTAATCTCGAAGCAGAAAAAAAGGAAAAAAAAGACAAGAAAGAAAGGCAAAGGCTATTAGCCGTGAGCACTACTTCCCATCAGGGGTAGGAGAAAAACGGGTACAGGACAGGGTAGACCGAAACAGAAACGGGGAGCAGAGAGGAAATATTCAAGATGAAAGATACTTGGAATAATTCAAGCAATAGGCGACAAGTATAGCAACAGGTATTATCGTAACAGCGGCCGCCAAGGATGGGCACGCTAGGGGTGAGGAGATGGGGAGTAGTTTTATCTTGTTGGAAGGAGAATCCAGAGGTGGAGGGGGAAGGGGAGTGAGTGCAGGTGCGGGTGCAGTTGTCTTTACATCGATAGCTCCCAGTTGGGGATGGGGGAATGCTGGGGCCTCAGTATTGTCTGTGGTAGGTCCCGGAAGGGGGGAGGGCGTACGGGAGAAGAGCGGGTAGGGGTCGAGTTTGGTGTTTATGTGGTCTTGGAGGAGCTTCACTATTCCTTTGTGCCCTTCCAGGGAGGCGGCCAGCAAGAGCGGTGTGCTACCGCTATCGTCTTTCGAGTCGGGGTTGACCTCCTTCCGGTCCAGGAGGAGCTTCACTATTCCTTCGTACCCTCCCGAGGCAGCCAGCAAGACTGGTGTTATGTAACGATTGTCTTCCGAGTCGGGGTTGACCTCTTTCTGGTCCAGGAGGAGCTTCACTATTCCTTCGTGCCCTTTCTCAGCAGCCCATGATAGTGGAGTGCAACAACCGTTGGAATCAGTCACCGACATATCCAAATCTTTCTTCTCCAACAGAGATATAACAATCTCTTCCAAACCAAAGTATGCCGCGCAGTGAGATCCAGTGAATCCAACAAGACATTCCCACCAATACAGCAACACCTCTCGAATAATTCTCGCTGAGATATGTTGATCGAATTCATCAAGAAGCTGAAGCACAAGCGACTTTACGCATTCTGTCATTCTGTGTGTCACAGAGGACCCCCAGTAAGTTGATGCGTATTCAAGGAAGGGTGCATTGAGGAAGAGTGCAAAATTGGGGTTCCTTTTCAGTCTCCTGACCTCAACGAATTACCATGACATTTACTCCAAAATAGGCTTATGAGATTCTGGGGCCTCTGAAGTACTCTATATATTATTTCCCTATTTTCACCTGCCATGTGTATAGAGCAAGGTGCATTCAAAGTCAGCGAGGTATGTTGCAATGTATCTTTTACATACGAAATAGTGTGGCTTGGCAGGTACCTTCGAGTCGGGCACATCTCAGGCTTCACTACTCTGCAGGAGTAAGCGCAAAAGATTCCAAATTTTGTATCTTGAGTTTCTATGTGCAAGGGAATTTATTCTATTTTTTTCTGTATCATTTCGCAGAGGATAATTGGGTGGTGATGTCTTGAAAAATGGCAATTTTGGTGAGTTTTTCCCTGTGTTCGGTGAATTTGCCAAGCCTATTGCGCTCTCTACCGAAGGAAATCATTCCGCTAGAATACTGTAGATACTAGTGCTTTCATCACCGTATCGGAGCAACCTACGCTTACCGTATGATTTGGCAATAACGCCCTGGGGCGGGATACCCAGGGAGAGGGGGGGGGGGCGTTGCTGGTGATAAAGTGACAAATGAC